TACAAGTTGCACTATACGTGTCGCTGCACTTCCATTCGCACCCCCCATGTGAACGGCAACAATATGTTCCGATCACACACGAAAATTTAGGGATGTAAGTGCTACAAAAGAAATTGTATGATTTGCCGCGAGACTCATATGAGGCTCATACTACGAAACATGCTGGACTAAAGCGGACTTTTACATATAAGGTGTGCAACTATGGCTCAGAACCTATGAAAAATCGAATTGAACAAGTGAGACAGTCACGAGGCCTCGCTCAGTATCCACTCAAAAGAGCATCGCTTTGATGTAGATCCGAACTGGTGACTTCCACGTAGATGTCACATCGGCAACTGACTTCACACTTCTCAAAAGATGTAGGTTTTGGTTTGGATACACTTACAGAACGGCAAGTCGGAGAGACAGTCGGTGACTGTCTACCTTCCATTATGCTCATGGTATCAAATCGTATTGATGATTTGCAATGATACACTTACAGCGTTTCAGGTCAGATAGACATCCGGTGAATGACTTCCTCCCTGGTTTGCATGGTATCCTCATAGTCGTTCAAAGAAATCACCACTGGCGATAACCTCTCCATCCACGATGATCCCAGCTGCCCTGAGCATCCCGCCGATCATCTTCTCCCTTCTTGGACTTTCCCTTGGACTTGCTCTTTCCCTTCCCCTTTTCAGAAGGTTGAGGTACTTCGCGACGTTCTTGCGTTAGCGCCGGCCTCCAAGATGTTCCAGATTGGCCTCCTCCTTTGGAATGTCCTCGGGATGATGAAGAAGTTGTACCTTCTGCTGCATGTGCGTTGGCGACAAGATCTTCCTGCAAAGCTTGCTCAAACACATCGGTAGCACTGGATGGTGATTTATCATGTGGTCTGGCTTTTGGAGCAGCCTTCGCCTTGTTCTCCTCTGCTGATGAGGGCCCGAAACTCTTAGGTGCTCTTGCAGGTTTTGGCTCCTCACTTGGTGCTGACGACGGCTTGGCCTCGGTTCTGGGTGTAGATGCTGGCTTTGCCTCAGCTCTTGACGAAGATGCTGCTTTCGCTTCAGACTTAGTCGTTGATGTTGACTTAGCTGTTGCCTTGGCTGCCTGCTTCTTCTTGCCCTGAATCTCCTTGGCCCTATCTCCAAAGCCTAGACGATCGGTAAGAGCTTGAACATGCTTCTGTTCTACCACGCTCATCCATCTCTCTGTATGTCCAATGTTGGGATTTCTGGCCATTGACTCTACGACATTCTGAGCGTGTGGGGGCAACCTGATCTCATGTTGATCAATGATCAGCAGAATAGACTTCTCCCATTTGCTCTTCATTCTCGAGTACATGATGTCCAGAGGATCGATCACCTTGTGGTTGGGTGATGTAACGTCGGTTCTAAAGTAAGAATATGTCCGACAACCATAAATCGCATGGATGCACTTCTGTACCAATTCAGTCATTGCGCTGGCTTTCTTCGCTTTCAACTCCTCAAGCTGGACGTCAGTCAAGTTGGTGGAGTATTCGAAGTTGCCATATTCCTTCTTGAAGGAGTACGGAGTATGACCAAATGATAGGATCACGAGTGCCACCTTGCAAATGAATTGCTCTCCTCTGAATCGGTGCCAGGCCTCCTCAATCGTAATCTTGTTTTCGTTGGCAAAGATTCTCATCATGTCATCTGTTGGATCCAATGGTCTCCCATCGTCATCGATTTCAGTGAAATCCTCTGTACCGAACTTGCTTATCACATCCAGTCGCTTCCTTTTCCAATTTGCTTTGAAGTCGGTAAGGCTGGTGCAATAGTAGCTCTTGTACATCAGGGAGATCATGTTCAGCACACATTTGACCACATACCTATCCATCAAACCCGATGCATTCATGGAGACGTCCTGACAGTAGGCTCTCTCTTGATGCGCATAGATTCGAGGTTCCGGTACTCGACAATAGATGGGGAGATCTTCGTTGTCTCTTCCTTCTTCGGGATTGAACTCGGTCGCTCCATGCTGTGCATAGTATCCCGGTTCATCACGATCTGTCGGTCGATTCGCCTCCGGATGTAAGTCGTCGGTGACGTCTTCATCCTCGGGCTCACCATCTTGACGTTTCTTCCCCTCATATTGTTGTGTGCTCCTCTGGATCTCGATGATCACGTTTCGTTCGTCTTCATCTTCTAGATCAGAATCACGATCGTAGTCGATCTCGTCCTCATTGAAAGATGGGGTCTCGACATTGTCACTCTTGAAGTTTTCTGCACCATCAGACGGTTTGGAAGGATCTAGATTGTCCATGTCCTCGTCGTCGTCAGCTGCTTCAGTTTGAGCGATGTCTTCTTCCCAAGCCTTTCTGATCTCGTCCATAGTGGCCTGGTCCAAGATATCTTGATCATCATCTTCAGGCTCCTTCTCTTCCTTCTTTTCCTCTTCATCGTCGCTCACAAGATCAACGGGTGAATCGGAAATGACAGTGTTGCGAATACCACACGAGAGTAGCCTGCCTTGACAAGATAGACACACGGACAAAGATGAAGAAGTCAAATGCATACATGATGGACACAAAATATTGCCATCCACGTTGCGATACCCTTCACATGTTCTGGAGATGATTTCGTCCCAAGTTTCCTCATTGATGGAATCCTCGATCAGCTCTCCATTGTCATCGAATTGTACTTCATCGATAAGGGACACGAGCTTTTGGACGTTGTCATCTGTCGCCGAGGCTGACTTCGTGACTTCGTCGGCTCTCTCGAGGATGGTATGCTTCTGAGCAACCCAAAGTCCATGACGTGCCGCTAGAACAACTTGCTCTCCTGTGCTTCCCAGCAGGAGTCTCCTCCATGCCTGAACGTAGTCGTCCCAATACCAAGCACCTCGTACACATCTCCATGGAACTTCTCTAAAAACAACAGTGTAGGAATTCTCCGAAATTCTTCCCCCAAGCTTCCTCAAAGTCATGATTGGAACATAAAGGCAAACGGGCATTCCCACTCTTGGCCATCTTGATCTCAGAATCTTTGATGATCGATCATCCCACGGCGCAAAGTGGTTGAAGAAAACACTACCTCTATATCCCTCCGTTCCACCAGGGACAATTCCTAGTTTCATGATTGACTCAATATTGGAAAGCGATGTCATGTGAAAGCTTCCTCCAAGCTGCATTGCCACATTCTCCGGAATGAGATGTGAAGTCCACACAGGATATATTGACACATCCTCTTCAAGAACAGTCTCTCTTCCAGAATTGTGAGAGGCAACAGCTCGAATTGCACAAGGAACGATCCAACGTTCATGCTTCAGAAATGACGGTGCATCTGTGCTGTAATACATGAGGTTTGCCCAGTATTGCCTTTCCTCTTCGAGTGAGACATCCTCCCTTGAGATACGAATGGCGGCAATCTGATAGCGTACTCTGTTCTGCAACTTCTTTGCATGCCACATCTCCTTGCATAAATACTGGTATCGCTCTGTCTTGACATCTTGACGATGCCGATCATTTGAGATAGTACTGATATCGACACCATCGTTGAAGACATGGTCATATTCCAGGATCTCATCGATGTTCACCCATCCACCCTCATTGCACTTCGGGGACACATGAGGTTTTCGACCGCGGTGCGATTGAATCCCATTATGCTTTCCCACTCCATGCCTGAGTAGTCTATTGAGTCTATGGCTAACCTCGTTGACCCGCTGACTCTCCTCGCTGAACTTGTCGATGCGAGTTGCTGGGTTCATCTTTGGTGGATCCGTGAAAGTTGCATCTCTCCCCTAAAGACCCTCTAAGACAAAAAACTAACTTATCTCTAAATCTTGTGAATCTAACTAATTCGTCAAATTCGTTTTGTCTAAGACAACAAAATTTTTGTCTAAGTCAATTTTTTTAGTTGTCTAAGGCTTGTTTTTTTTTCACATGCAAAAAAATTGACTTAGACAAAAATTTTTTTTAACTTAGACCAAAAAAATAGTCTAAGTTAATTTGAAACTTCCTCGCAAAACTGCCTCCAAACTTCCTCGCCCGTCTTTTCCTGCTATATGAGGGCCCGACAGCAGCTATATGCTACTACTACTACTACTCCTACTCCTACTTCTACTACTACTACTACTAGTAGTGCTACTAGTAGTGCTACTACTACTACTACTACTACTACTACTACTAATGAACTACTGAACAACTGAACCTCCACTACCACTACCACTGCTCCTGCTATACTACTACCACCACAACTACTACCTACTTTACTGCTTCTGGTACCCGTAGCGCTACTACAAGCACTAGTGCTGCTACTACTACTACTACGACTACTACTTCTACTTCTAATAGAAATTCTCCTACTACTACTACCACCACCACCACCACCACTACTACTACTACTTCCAATACCACTACTACCACCACCACTACTGCTACTACTGCTACTACTGCTACTACTCCTACTACTGCTACTACCACTACCACTACCACTACCACTACCACTACTACTACTACTACTGCTACTACTACTACTACACCACCCCACCACCACCACCACCACCACCGATGGATGTATTTACGTTTTGTAGGCAGTAGTCGTCGTAAACACACATCAACCACCAAAAAAACAGGGCCACCAGCGTCACCACAGCACAAAGATGTCGGCGCCAGCATCAGAAAACCAGAAAAGTGATACACCGGCTTTGGAATGTGGATTGAATATTCTATGAACTTGCGTCTGTTTTGGCGTGCCCTTGATGCGACAATATTCGCGAGCATCGAAAGGTGTGTCCAGGTAGGATTGGTTAACAACCGAAGTCCCTATGATGGTAACACTCAAGGTACTTCTGAAGGTATCTCTCACGGTATCTCTCAAGGTATATATAGATAATATATAAGAATCTGCATTAAACAACTACAACTACGATTGCGGAACGTGACAGTGGTCAATGGCAAGGACTTTTGCAGAGCAGCAGCTCATACAGAACTTGTGGAAAACAAGATAACCATTTCTGTGTCTTTGGAATGTCTTTTACTTTCCACCGCGCCGCATCCTTTTTCACTGGTGCTCCTGAAAAACCAGGTGCAGGCCAAGGCGGTACCGCAGCATCATCTTTGTCAAACATTGCCCTGGTCGCTGACCTTGAACGCAAGATTTCGCCAGGGTGCTCATGCGTTTTTGCATGTCTTCGCCTTGAAAACACCACGTGCAACGTGGGTTCAAAAAACGAGAGAGTAAGGCGATGTGCTGGATATAGTGAGCCTTTTGGGTCAAATTGAAAAGTCTATCGGTCAAAAAGTGCTCCGCGATCTGGCTGAGAAGCAGGAGCATCGAATTGCAGATCGACTGAAACCTGGCAGCGTCATCCCCCGGCAATGCAAATTTGTCTTTGTGAACAATGAGCAACTCTTCCAACTCACAGTTGAGTTTCAAGTACAGGGCTAGCTGTCTGTGAACTAGCAAGTTCTCATTCATATATTTGGTCCACGCGTAGTGCAGTGGTCGACAAAAGTACTTCACCTCCGCCGCCTTGCCGCGCAACTTGGGGTAAGACGCGCCCCGTCTTTCGAACATCGATAGTCGCATATTGCGGAACCGGCATGGGGTAGCGTCTCGCTGGTAGAAGTCTTGCACATCTTGCCAGACCATGCGCAAATTCGCTGCTGCATCGGCATGAGGGCATACGTGGCGTACAAGAAGCTTAAGTGTACTGCCGTATACCGATAGATCGTGGCCAAGATATTTGCAATGCATGAAATCGAAGGCTAGCAGCCAGGGGCTGAAGCCTTCCATGGTGAAGAGGGGGCTTGGAGACCTTTGAGGCCATAGTTTCCATTGGGCTGCGCTCCATTGAACCGTGCGCCAAGGCGCGCAATCCCGGAAGTCTAACCACGAATAGGCCCCTTTGCCTCTGCATCGGCAGAGGGCGCAGGGGCCCTTCTCGAGCGTTGAACGTGGTAAAAGCAAGGCTTTGTGAAAGTAATCGAGATCTCCGATTATCGACCACAAGGTGGCCCGAAAGCCACCTGCCAAAGGACTCAGAGCTCTCCTGCCCTCAGCAGTGCTTGCGCTGTACCTGCCAAAGTGATGCATATAGAAGCAAAGTCGTTGTCAGGTATTCACACTTTAAATATCCTTTAAAACAATTTTGGAAGCGCCCTTCCCGGTTATAGTCTAAAATGCAAGCAAAAACGATCGAAAAAGGGCACCATTTGAGGTACCTTTTCCTTGTACAAATACACACTGAAGTATTCAAATGTATACGTAAGTCCTTACAGCGTGACCATGGCTATTGAACGCGGGTAGAGATAGGTGTGTGTGGAAGGAATCAAATACACTGAGCCTGAAAGTGTAATAAACTATCTCTGGACAGGCGACTTTTGTCCGAGGTAGTCGACATCTGGCCACTTTCCTTCCAGAAGCCAGTGTAAGCTCCAAATCAACTGCTGGAAAAACACACCCAGTGTATCTTCTTGTTGATTTTCATTGATCGCTCGGAGCTTGTCAAACACACCGTAAATGAAATATTGCGACTCCTTGGTTGAACCTTGCCCGGTCAAGGATGTCCATGAGAACACTGTCATTTGTTGACACCAGCTTTTGCCCACGCCTGTGATGGGCACATCATCTCCATGAAAACTTATCGGTACCACCGAAGATCTGTAATTGTCAATGTTTGAAACTTTGGAATCTGCAAAGGCAGGGTGAAAAGTGTTGGTTTCCCAAAACTTCGCAAGGTGTCAGTGCTTGGCAGGATGCACTTCTTGAAGGTTTTGGGATAAACGTTGTAAATAGTGCTGAACAGTTCGTGCGGCCAGAGAACACTTTGCGTCAATGCCTGTAAAGGTGCCTTGAAAGGCATGGTGGTAAACTTAGGCATAGCCACGCGAATTTGAAACGGCACTCTTTTCAAGAGCTCTCCAAAACATTTGTTGCTGTATCGACCTGATGCGCCAATTTCGCCCATGTTCTTGAGGTCTTCAAGGTTGCTTTCATTTGCCTGCATGTTGCAGGCGTCCTCGTAAGCTGCTTTGGCGATCTTTTGGACCACTTGAGGCGACATTTCACCCCACGCGAAAAGATTCATCAGGAGAGATGCGAGCACTGAAGTTGTGACGAAGGGGCCTTCAAGGGACTCTCGCCGCTTCCTGCGTTGCCGGACCCCCCCTTTTCTTCTTGGACTTCGGCTTCTTGCCATGGCTATTGGCCAGGGCGCATTCAGAAATCTAAATGGGGTCAACAGACAAAACATGTCGGAGCAAATGAGATGTGTCACAGGGTGATGAGGATTGTTGTTTTTCTTTCTTTGGTTAAGATGCAACCGATCTATCATCCATCCGCTGTGGTTAGATTCAGCCATATAGGGGCCTTGTGTTGAAGCAATTCATGGGTTGAAATATGTATTGAGCAGTGAAACTCTCAGAGTGAAGCTCCCAAAGTCAAGGCAAGGAGGCGGTACGCTTCAGTCATAGTAGATGACACTCACTCAAGGTAGAATCTCTCAAGGTAGAAACTCTCAAGGTAGAATCTCTCAAGGTAGAAACTCTCAAGGTAGAAACTCTCAAGGTAGAAAATCTCAAGGTAGAATTTCTCAAGGTAGAAACTCTCAAGGTAGAATCTCTCAAGGTAGAAACTCTCAAGGTAGAAGCTCTCAAGGTAGAAACTCTGCAGGTAGAATCTCTCAGGTGTATGTATACAAGGAGTTTTATGCAAAGTGTTCCTGACATAACTTTTCTAGATTACACCGACTGATTCCAAGACTCCGTGACATACCGTGAGGGCACCATGAAGTACCGTGAGAGTACCATGAGAGGCTCATGACTTTGCGCACGCACAACCTCCCCGAATGGACGCATAAAAGAGTTGAGACAGGTAGAAACACCGAACACTGAACATGCGCCTGTAAAATTGAGGTGACCGGTAAACAACCAATTCCCGCTTTCCCACCTGGTTTTTTTCGCTGAGTCTGCTTTTGCAGGAGCTGTCTCAATCCCTGCCGCTGATGTTGAGCACTAGTGTCAAAATTGTGTTGACAAATCAACACCGCTATATACCCCTGTAAACATGAAAGATTCATCTCATTCATATCCCTTGGAGAAGATGCCTTTTTGGCAATTGCGGACCTAGTTTTTCCTGGCTTTCAGCCATCCGCGTGTGGTCTCTACCAACTCATTGTACTCCTGGGTGTGCACTGCCATGTCCTTCATGATCTTATCGAGGTTCTCCTTGGTGGGAGGCAAGTCGTCAGGCAACTCCTGGAACTCCAGCATGTGGCTGAGCTTGGCCAAGTTGAGCTGGATCAAAGTATGGCCCTTCTTCAGCTTGGCCAGCCTTTCATCCTCCTTGTCTCCCTTCCAAGCCTTGATCATGGTCATCGCTTCCTTTCCAAGACGCTGTTGGGATTGCGTCGCTTGCTGCACCAGATTGCCGATAGCAGCTGGGATGCGGCCATCTCCCAAAACCCGACAGTCCTTGTCAGTGTACTTCCAAGACCATCCGATCTGATTGAAGCAATCTCCCAAAAGCTCAGCCTGCCTCTTGTCGACCTTTTTCTTGCTGCTCAGGTCCTGGGTTTCCTCCTTTCCTTGCTCTTGACCTTTCACGTAGCTTGTAAAGGCCCAAAAGGTCTTTCCCTCTGCGGTCTCCACCGGGACAATGTCCTTGTCTTTGCGAGCTTGCTCAAACGCCTTGGAGTCATTGGCAAAATACAACCCCTTCATGATCGCCTCCGGTAGGGCAGTCTCCTTTTCCTTGGAATACTTCTTGGCGTACACTTTCTTGTGTTCAGCAAAAAGCTGATCCTCGAGGTTCAGAACGAGCTTGCCTGAAGAGTTTCTCTTGAAGAGTTTATTGATGACCATCGTTTTGAAGTCCCTTGGGGAGCTTGCACTCTTTGATTGCGTCTCGATCAGGTCAACCACATGGTCTGGTAGGCTTCCCTTCATCTTTGCATACTTCTGCCCCTTTGACTTGTCCCTTCCTGCTTCCTCTGCCTCTTGCTCATATGAGCGCTCATCTTCCTCCTTCAAGTCAGCCTCCAAATCAGCTCTGGAAACACCTCTGGCCATCTTGGAAATGGTCTCATTGATGCTAGCCGAAGGTCGTTTCATTCAGCTGGCGGGGCGCTTCATGAAGGACACCGCAAAGGTCAAGTGGTAGCAGTGCAACGCCGGTATGGCCAACAGGATGGCTTTGGTAGTTTTGAACAAAAGGTATCGCCACCAAGTGGCATCACGGTAGATCACTCACACTCGCTCAACAACTTCATAACATTCAATGCCAAAATCGTTAGGAATGGTAGAGTGTTGATGAAACATTGATGTAGTTTCGAGGAAATTTCCTTGAAACTTCCTTCAGGCAGGTATGTAGTTTGAATGTACTATGATTGTAGTTTCTTGGCAGTTTGACATGGTCTTTGATGTAGTTTGAAGCAAGGGTTGACTGACGTACAAGAAATGAACAACATCACATACTTAAACTTCCTCAAATGTTTGTCAAACTACATATCAAACTGCCCTAGTACATGTGGAAGTTTCGTGGAAATTTCCTTGAAACTTCCTTGATGGTTTTTAGTTCACTATCCATTTTCTCTCAACCGGTAGGCTTGAACATCTCTCAAGGTTTGTACACACTTCAAAAACCAGACCTATGATCTATCAGGCCAGCAGGATCACTTCTTGCCGCTCTTCTTCTTGGTCTTCTTCGCCGCTGGTCCACTTGGCTCAGATGCTTGGGGCTTTTCCTCCGTCTTCTCCTCCAAATCCTGTTCGATCGCCTGAGTCGAGCTGGCCGCATTGTCATGACCTGGGTCCACTTCCATCTCCTGGGACTCGGCCTCCTTCTCGGCTACCTTTTCCATCTGCTTCTGCTCGAGAAGAGCGGTCACTCGGCCCATCAACAACTGCATCATTGGAGACACCTCACCCTCCCCTTCAGCAAAGACCTGGCCGTTCTCATCGATGTCAAGGGCCCTCCACGCCATTGCGGTTCAATTGGTGGGTTGACAAAAGCCAGACGCGTAGAGCTTTGACTTGGAAAACACTGTGGTCAAAGAAGCTCACCATTTGTATATGACAGGAATGACATTCAATGTCACATTGCAATGACTCACAACTCTCATTGGTAACTCTCAAAAGTCATCTCTCATTGGAAACTCTCTGAAGGTATTCTCTCACGGTAGAATCTCTCAAGGTTTAAGACTTACCCAAAACTATCCCTTCAACTTAGAACCCTTCGCCCCCAAAACGGAGCCCCATGAGGCAACATTGACATTTATCAATCACTTCGCCCCAAAATGGAAACCAAACCCTACCAAAACCTACAAGGCCTCTTTTCAGCTCGACTGCGGACGGCTCAGCTATCTTCACCCCTTAGGGTTTTCCTTCTTTTCCAAGGAGAAATCTTGAGATCAATATTGACCTCCGACGCATTAGATTCGAATTGCTGCTTCTCTTCCTTCGCTTTGCTCAAAAGACCGACAAACTTTCGACCTTCAGAATCAGCAGCAGGGTCACTGAGCGGCGCCTCAATATTGACCTCCTCATCGGATTGGAATTCCTGCAGCTCTTCTTTCACTTTGCTCAACAAACCGATAAACTTTCGACCTTCTGAATCAGCAGCAGGGTCACTGAGCGGGGCCTCTTCGGTAGTAGTAGGCATCTGTGAAGCCTGGGCCTGAGCAGGACAAATTGGCGCTTGCCTCAATGATTTCAGACGAGGTAGAGCTCGTTCAGCGTGAAGAGGTCTGGGAGACATAGACAACATTAGTTTGCCATGAAGGACAGAAATGGCCCTGTCAACATCCTCTAAATTTTCCATAGTGACAAAAGCGGTGCAAAACCTGACCATGTCCAGCGCCGGCCCCTTTCGAACTATGTTGATACCATCCAGGCTGATGTTGTTGAAGCCCAGATGCCGTAACTCTGTAAGGATATGAGCTTTATTCACATTGAAGCTGAGATTCTTCAGGTAGAGGCGGGTAGATGGATTGCGTGGGCCATACCCGTCATCATCAACAGCGTCCATGATTGGTAGCAGTCCTTGGGTTTTGGCTGCGGTTGCACCTGGCAAAATGAGCGAAATGACTGTAAGTGTGAGAGACACGAGATGTATGATTGAGTTCATGTTGATGTCATGTTCTCTATTCTCAAAAAGGCCGTGCATAAATTTAGAATGTCTTTGTACCCTTGAACCAACAGAGAAGGGCTGCAGCACAAAAGCCGGCGGTTGAAGCGTACAGGCAGAATCTGGTAGAACCTCTCAAGGTAGCGTGTCTCTCTTGGAAGAATCTCTCAAGGTAACGCTTCAGTCAAGGTAGATGACACTCACTCAAGGTAGAAACTCTCAAGGTAGAAACTCCCGAGGTAGAATCTCTCAGGTGTACGTACAAGGGGTTTTATGCAAACATGTTGCTATATTTGTGTCTATATATACTGTATATATAGTGTAAGAATATGAGACCCAAGTGACCCTACCATGAGAGCGCATACCTCCGAGAGCCTGTGTATACCTTGACTGCTATATAACATACCTGTGAGAGAGCTTACACACCTGTGAGAGCCATCTACTATAGCACAAACCTTGCGGCGACACTAGGTTGATAACCCTGAAAATGATTTAAATAGAGCACCAACCCAATCCAGCACAGTTTTCTCTCACGCACACCTGCCATAGGCTCTTCTGGGGTGTCCTTGGTGCGACCTTTCTCAAACTAGCGAAAACTAATCGACATCCCTAGGATCTGAACCCTCGGAATTTGGTGGAGCATCCTGAGGTGCATTTGGTTTCTTCTTCTTCTTCTTTTGCTGAACGCTTCCCTGCTCAGCACTGCCTTTCTTCTTCTTCTTTGCAGGTGGTGCCACATCCTTCTCATCATCATCATCTTTTGCGACATCTTTTGGCTGCGATTTCCCTGTCGTGCTCTCTTGAGAGTCTGCACCTTCTTTTTCTTCACATTGGCATTTTCAGTAGGCCTGGGCCAGAGCCTGTCAAACTCCTGTGAAGCTTTCCGAGAATGCTTCCTCGCGTGCTGAAGTCTTTGTTTCCCTGTTTTGCCCATTGCCTTAGCCTCATCTGCACCAGCGTGCCAAGCCCTCGAAGTGTACCTTTTTCTGTTTTGAGCTCGACTTACAGTCGCGTCGAAGCCTTCTGGCACATCTTCAAGCTTGGAACTTTCACCAGGGTTTTCCTCATCAGGCTTGACTTGCTTCTCTGTCTTGGTGGACTTCTTCTCCTCGGATTTTGTCCCTGTCTTCGGAAGCTCATCCTGTGACTCCTGTGGTTCCATGGTCTCAACCTTCGCTTTTCCATCCTTCTTTGCAGCGCAATTCTTTTTCTTGCCCTTGCTACTGCCTTTTCCACCCTTTTTCGCCTTGCTCTTGACCTTAGTTGTCTTGGCTCCGGGGCTCTGTCCCAGTGTCTTGCCCTGGTCTTCCTCCTCTTCATGTTCATCATCAGTTTCTTCAGCCTTCAGTTTCTTGATCGCTTTGTTTGCTCTCTGCAACTGGCTGTTGAACCCTTTGTTGAGCGGCTCCTGAGCCTGGCAGGCCTTGAGAAGCCTAAGCTCCTGTGGATCCAACTCAGCGCCAGCGAGGAAACCCACAAACTTCGAAGGGCTTGAAACAGTCGTTTTCAAGGTTTTGCCAAAGGCTCTGCTCGAAGATGGCGGGACATCATCATGGTCATCGAAATCTGGCTTAGCCAACACTCGACTAAAGACACTCAGTGGATCTATCATCACATCTATCGGATTGACACCTTTGCTACTTGACGGCTCATGGGCTTCAAGTGACTCTGGTGAATCTTTTCTCTCAAATGGGACGATGGCAGTGGAAGGCTTGGTGGATGGGTTGTCCACTTCCTCAAGGTCGGTCAGCAGTGCAATGAGACCTTCAATCACCTTCTGTTCTTCAGGTCCTGTTTTCCTCAAGCATCTCTGTCTTGCGAGAGGGCAAACCTTGATCCCCCTGAGCTGTGATAAGCCAATGCGAATTCTTTCGCCCATGTCTTCTGCAAAGGCTTCAGTACTCAGTTTTCCCTTTGGGATCTCTTTACGTTCGCACAGTTTTTCTATGCTTGTCCGGTGCTTTTTGCTAGGGATGACTCCATTGGGGGCCAATTTGATGTAGCGGGTCCATAGTGGAGCGAGTTTGCTTAGCCAATCTGGATCGGCAACAGTCTTCCAGGTTGCCTCCTTAGGTGGTTTGAGCATCTTGTCCAGGTTGTAGTTTTTCTCTTCATCTAACCACCCCTCCAGGCATTCCAACAAATCAGCAACACCGATCGAGGGATCAGCAGTGATCCGCTGCTTGGTGGTCACCTTTCCGGCCATGGCCGCGCAAAGTATCCTATCCAAGGTGTTTCAAAAACCTGGACACTGTGTTGGACAATGCGCACCATGAAATGGAAAAAATCGCATGGCTTCATGTTTGCAACTTGTTGACTTCTGTAGATGACGCCACCCCCTGTTGACATCCATGGAAGCATCAGGACAGGTTTGGACAGGTTCTGGTTTAAATTCTCTCAAATTGTCTCTCAAGGTGAGAACCTCTCAAGGTAAGAATCTCTCAAGGTAAGAATCTCTCAAGGTAAGAACGTCTCAAGGGAAGAGCCTCTCAAGGTGAAAACCTCTCAAGGTAAGAATATACAAAGAAAAAATGCTATAGCAAAGGCACATCCTAGACCACATCTATTCCATTGGAACCATGAACACAACTTGCACTGCATGCTCTGAACGCTTTTTTCCGCTTCCAATGAAAGTCCTACGAATCCCGGTGCACCAATCCAAAGTGGGCTGTGCCAATGATCAGCCGAAAATCGATCAGCCACTGAATCACAGCGCCCAAATCTTGCACCTCTGCCGCACCCACCAGGTCATCAATGAAATCCATCAAGGTAGCGGTTTCCTCTTCCAAAATTGTTGTGTAGGGTACGCTATAGCCAATGGCGTGCAAAAAAGTTGGTTCAGATGCCGGAGAAGCGCCTGCAATGGGCACAATATCAGCAGACAAAGCCAATGGGTTTGCACCGTGGATCTTGATAGCCGTCATAAGTTGCCAAGCTTCAGCCAAAATTTCTGTCATACGGTGAACCCCGCTGACAGACAGGATTGCCCTGACAGTTTCGCGAGAAGCCTCAAATCGCTCCAACCTATCGCGGAATTCATCGCCGTCATCGGCATCTTTGATCCAATCTATAAAGAAACCCAGAATCTGAAGATACAAAAATCGATCCATAGGCGCGGGAGGAAACGCTAATGGCTTCAGGTGGCGCTGCTGTTGCTTTTGAACTAGTGTCAGTATGTTAAGTTTGAAACCGCCAACATATCCGCTGATCTTTGGGATGAGCCTGCAATGGACGGATCAATGGCGCCAAAGGAAACTAAGCGCCGCCAAACAAGGAATAAACACCAACCTACCAAGCGACCAACCAACCAACCAACCAACCCACCAAACCCTACCCCACCACAACCCAACCCAACAACATCAGCAACAACAACATCTACAACAGCAGCAGCAGCAGCAGCAGCGGCAGTAACAACCGCAACAGCAACAGCAACAATAACCCCAGCAGCAACAGCAACAACAAAAAAAGATCAACAACATCACCAACAACAACTATACTACTGTACTACAACCATCACTACTACCACTATCTACCACCACAACCACCACCACCGCCACCACCGCCACCACCACCACCAACCACCACCACCCCCACCACCACCGCCACCGCCACGACGACTACTACTACTACCACCACCACTACTGCTACTACTGCTACTACTACTACTGCTACTACCACTACCACTACCACGACTACTCCTACTACTACTGCTACTGCTACTCCTACTACTACCACTACTACCACTACTACCACTACTACTACTACTACTACTACTACTACTACTACTACTACTACTAC